AATTTTAATCTAATAGAGTATCATTTGTGACTTCGTAGTTAAAAAATTCTTGTTTAAAACTTGCTAGGATATATTATTATATTTCTTACTCTCACAGAAATTGAAATCCTGTACACACAATAATTCTGCCTATAATGTCAGCGATGTAGAAAAAATCTTAGCAAAAGTCCCGTTGACGATACAATAGAATTTATAGTATTGTTTAATTGATACAAATGTACAAATGCATTAAGTACATTCGTTTAGTTAAACATATAAGTATAATTTTGAATATAGCTTACAATGACTACACAATCGTTTAATTTGTTACTCCAAATGCTAAAATTAATCCACGTTTTTATTGATCTGCATGCTCCAGAGAACTGAGATACTCGATAATATTATCAAATTACTCATTTTAGTAAGGACTAATACAAGTCAGTCATAAAGAGTTGAGTAAATAAACAACGATTTGATCTGAATCTGCAGAAGGTAGATTATTAATTATATAATAATGGTATAAAAGGCCAAATTAATAAACTATAAAGACAATACATATTTTTAAAATCGTTTAATACATTTATCTTAGATAAAGGACCTAATTTATGAAATATAAAATAATACATTATTACCTGATCAAATACAAAGTTTTCATTCAATAGCGAATTAATCTTACATGCTACTTGAATAAGCATCTAGTTACAACTTACAAATACTGGATACGATTTTAAACAAAAAATATCCAAACATTGTATCTCTAGATGTGTTACGACCCCGACTATACGCGTTCCATAAGGTTTTTGACAATAAAAACCTGGAAAAGCTGGACCACTACAAGGCTATGCGTTTAGGGGCATAATAAAAGCATCACCGCGCTGTTAACTACACGAGGTAAACACAATTAATTAACTTCAACATACAATAAAAGGTATTTAATACCGCAACCCGACCAGTAGTAGACGGTCGTCTTGTGTGCGTTTGTAGGGACCGTTTGGGCGCACAAAAACTGTTCACATTACAAAAGACAAGACGTCACTTGTGTATTTATACACGCACACAAGTTGAAATGTTTTTGCTGCGTTATAGCTGCTGTTATATTGTGATTTTCTGACATAACGACGAACGTTATTATCAATTGCGAACAATGGATTAGGCGGCGGCGACGACGGTGGTGCATTCATTATCGTTATGGTGTCACATCCTTCCGCCAACGACAAAAACACCACCGTACCCCGGCAAAATAATAATGTTATGATCCTGTCAAAAGGTCACCGGGCTTTAGTATGATTACCACTTAACAAGTGTGATTGATTGTTCTACAAACCGACCACGGCCAAATGATTGTTATATCCGTATTGTAAATATTATACGACGGGCAAAGACGTTCTTAATGCAACGTTAGATTTAAAAATCCGATGATGTGGAATTTTTATTAATATTTGAAGGGCACAGGAGAAAAACGGTAGTTGTCACATTATGAAAATTTATTTTTTCAAATAGTATTTTTCAATTTATGCCAATAGTTTTTTTTATTCATGTCAATAGATTGTTTAAATAAATACATTTATTATTAGAGTAGCATTTAATGTGATTTTTTTTGTTCTTATGTAAGAGGTAGAGGATGTTCACGAACTTTGTTTTTGCTATACTCTAAAATTTTCTTAATGTGACAACCACCGTTTTTCCCCTGTGCCCTTCATTTGTTTTAATACAACTAGCAATACTAAGTTAAATGTATACATAAATATATATATATATTAAACAGTGTAAGATAATGAAGTCTTTGCTAAGAAACCAACGCTGAAAGATATACTTCATTAATTATGCAGCGAGTTTGGCAAAACTGGGTATTAACGATTTAGTTAAAAAGCTAATTTAAACTTTTTAACTAAACTAGTTTTTTTTCTCGAATCTAAATAAATAATCAACTTTATTGGTCTCTCGAATAACTCAGTTAAGTTCATCAAATTATACATGCTCTGTATACTTGGGGGTGTTATAAAATTAAATATATAATCTAAAAATCCTAAGGTTAGAAACGTAAGGTACAATAACACGTAAGAATGTCTGTGCTCATAGAATCAATAATATTTAAATGTTTAAAAAAAATCAAATTTTATGCGTTCAAGAAATGTTGACTTCTAAATTCATATACATAGTATTGACCGTAGATACTTATAAGTATACGCATATCTTGACATAGGTGAAGATCGGGGGAGGCTTACGGGGGCTTAGCTTCCCCCCCCCCAAAAAAAAAAAATTAATTCGTAACTGAAGCCCCCCTCCAATATTATATAAACTAGTGGTTTCCTTTTTTTATTTTAATCGCTATATTAAAAGAATTTTTCACGCCATTGAAAAAAGATTTTAAAAAAATATTCAAATACCATAACGATCTTAAATACATTTTCTAAAAAATGTAATAGAATAATAAATTTAGATATATTTAACAATTGTTTTAATTCATTCATCAAATTGGTATGTTGTGTTAAAATATTTTATAACTAAACTTTTTGTTGGGGGTGTAGGGGCGAAGCCCTCGCGGGTCTGTTTGCTACACTTAAAATTAAAAAAATTAAGCCTCCCCCCCCTCATATTAGATAGGATCTTTGCCTATGTACTTTTTAAGTAGTAAGACGAACATGAAATAGAAGAACTCTTTTAAAAAGCATCTCCGTGTGTTATTCATACAAAAACTATAATCGATATCATCTTGTTCTAGTAGAGGTTAAGACGAGTCAAGCAACGTATTAATTGGCTTCTTTTCCATTATTAAGTACACATTTTTTAATAACTATACATTTAAATTATTTACATCCAAATGATATTGGAAATATAGAGAGAAGTGTTCGTCTATAATTATACTATTAGATGTAGTCGAAATGATCTTAATATGACCGTTTACCGTTTCGCAATGGCTAAACAAAAACTCCAAAATGTTATAGAATTTTGGGGGCGGTTGTAATATATTTTTTATTGTTGAAAATTATGTAATTTTTTTTATTGCTAAACGACTAAATAGAGTATAATGTTATGTACTTCAGTGAACGCAGGCGTTAGAGCATAAAGGGAGAAATTAAGGGCACGCGGGGAGGTCAATCGGGGGTTAGCCGTGGGAGAACGGGGGAAAAAATGATACCGCGTACGTTTCTGCCGGGAAATCAATTACCCGCATGCGGCGGGTAAGTCATTTTTTATAGGGAAACATCAAAATATATATATATTGACCATATACATATACAGGCAATGCTGTCACCGTGCCCCTTTTCCAGTTTAATAACACTACTAGTACGTACGCGTTCAGCCCTCGGTTTGCTGGTTGATGGGATATAGGGTAAGAGTGTTCAGCAAAAAATTATAAAATGAACAATCCAACATTTATCAAATACATATACACACACAAGTGTATGTTTATATAATATATAAACATATTGTTACATAGTGTATAGCGTTGACCAGAAATATGTAACTCACAGTGTGCCGTCACCGCTGACCCATTTCATGCGGGTAACGATGTTTACGACGGCCGTTTCCGTTTAAATACGGATATATTTGTGTGTGTGTGTGTGTTTATGTGTATGTGTACACAATATATTATAAAGTGATGCGAGGCCACAGGATTAAGTGAAAAGTTTGCCAAATCCTCTGCCGCCAACGCTGTTTGGTAAGCAATCGATTCGAAACCATTAAACTAACCCCAGACATAGTAGCATGACGGCTCCGAATAAATATGCTAACGTTGCATCACTAAGTACTACCTAACCTAATTACCTTTTGCATACAACATAATTTAAGCACACAGGCATAGTGTGGAACATCTTGTTAGAACTATTTCTTGTCCGCGACATACGAACCTGCCGACGAACCTTATCGTTAATAACAGCTGTTTGTCCTACCCTCGACACAAGGATCCCACAACTACCCTAATCATCTATGCATTCGTACGTTTTGCTCGTCTTCCTCCCCATTCTACAAAACTTCACGACCTCAATAAAAACATCTATTCATTGCCACTTTGAAGTAACTTGACTAGGTCTGCTCTCTAATTTGATCTTACCCCAACCGACTAAAAATAACACATTAAATTGCTAGTTTCCTAACAGGCTATTTTTCTGCCATTTTCCTATTTTTAAGGTCATTCACAAGCCCTCTAATCTTATAAATTCCTCCTTGACGAGCATGGTTAATCAAAAACTATTGTATTTTGAAACATTGACTGGTAATAATTATTAATTATTGAATTACATAATAAAATATTATTGTATTCAAAAGTAAAAAAAAGTTTGAATACTCTAAACCATTTTGGCGCCGATGAAAACATTAACATTAATTTTTTTATTTTTGTTCTAAAAAAGCTTTTATGAGTAATTTATAACATATTATCAGCTCTGATTCAATTAAGTTTATTCGTAAAGAATTACAAAAATAAATAATAGTAAGTTGTAAAAATAGTTTTCCTGTTGTTTTTTTGCTTATAAGAATTTAAATATGCCTGTTTGAGTCATTTCTGTGGTTGACAGGTTAATATTATACTGCTACAGTTTAGAAAAAACACGTTGAAGTAATGAACCGTATGAATTATTTAATGTTAATGGAGATTTGTTAATGGTGTTTAGAATGATCTACAATTCTAGTATTAGTGAAAATGTGCAAAAATAACATTAATTACTAAGTAGTAGTAAGTACTATTCATGCCTTGTCGAATACTTGAGGTTATTATAAAAAATAAATATGATAATGCACTATCGTCATTAAAATGAAATGTTACCCCAAATACTGTTAGCATTAGTTACTGGAATATTAACGTTAATAGGTGTAGTCTATATATATATATTTTAGAAAGGTGCTTGTAGCAAATGAACATGATTTTTCGATTAGTTACATTCTTGAAACAAAGTACCTATAACTACTGCAAAATTAACGTACACCATAACTGCCTCCCTTCCAGAATCTCATAGCATAATGTCATCGATTATACAATTTTAACCATAAATTAACAACCACACTACATACATACTTACATAACAGAGATTTACTGATGACATTGAGTGGCAATGGATTTGTCGGCGGTTCACTAAGTTCTTGCAAATGTTACTGATTGCAAAATCATATTAGTATATTAGAGATAAGGAATTACTAATTAGATATACTAGATTATAGATAAGAGATTAGAGATAATGGAATAGCAATATAAAATTAAAGATAATAGATTACCGATAAGATACTAGAGATACTAGATTGGAGATAAAAATAGAGATAATAGATTAGATACTCAACGTTACAGAGGACAATTTGTGCGTATGGTGCGATCTAGCGGTCAAGCTTAGAATTACAAACATTTTTACAGTTTTTTGTGGTCAAAATACAAAAACCTCTACTTAAATTTCCAGTATATATATAATTGTACCACATAAAAAAATCATGTTTGTTATACGGACCGTATTGCTATAACATATCCATGATTCAATGTTTCCGGGGAGCGGAGAAAATAATAATGTTTTTTTTTTTCAGACCATTCTGGTTATTCAACTAGTGGCCTAATACAAATAGTCCTATTATAGTTTCAAAAATTGAACAAACGTTATCATAGAAGCCAAAAAATATCCGTAGAATTCTATATTAGACTACATAAGATTTTAGAAACAGCCGCCAGTCAACAATAATTATAATACCTTTATAATTCATAAAAAAATAACTATTTCCCTTTAGGATGAATACAAATTAAATATTAGGTATAAAATATTTTACCTTTAACCTTATTTTTTTTTTATAGGTATTTATTTTGCACTATTGAAATCTGATGAGATTATTGAAACGTTCAACAGCATTGAACAGTATTCTTTTGTTTGCATCAGCTGACTTTACGTGGAAAATATCGATGAGTAATAAATGAGTTATTTATTTATAATTGAAGCGTTGCGTGGCAAAGTCAGCAATGTCCACTTGTTTTGAAATAAATGTTTTTAACATTTTCTTATTATATTTTTCACTCTGCATCGACTGGTGACACTGATCGTTATCACATACAATTGTGATAACGATTCCCGCGACAATTCCCCATAGAGGTAAAACGTTTCAAAAATAGGCAATTGCGGCAAAGAGAGTGCAAAAGAAAATCAGATTTTATAAATTTACCAAAAATCACTGCGCTTGGAGATTGTCAACTTTGCCACGCAACGCCTCAATTAGTCTAACGTTGTTTAACCAAACTTAGTATCATAGTTTAATAATGTTTTCAAGACAATTGAGTAGTTTTAAAATGTATGTACAGGCTGCTACAAACGTCATGCACAACAAGCAATTATATGAAAAAAAAAACTTCTACACTGATCAGTTTTGATAAAAACAATACATGTCGCACTCTTTACCTATATTGTATATCATGTACGTGTAAACAATAGCAATTTCCCCTTGCAATACTATTAATTCTCATTTGATTAATGACAGTAATAAAATGTCATGGTAGGGAAATCTAACTATGATTATGATATTGTTAATGATACACTGTTAGGCCATTCAATAACGGAAAAAGGAAATTCCGGTGAACTACTGTGTCGCTCTCTTGAAACATAAATTATTATTAATTAACATAGCTCAAATAAATCAAAATTAAATATAATAAATATTTATAACTGTTTGATTTTGTTCGTACATAAAACATTTTAAAAAAGTAACGAATTATAATAAATTAATTATTAGAGGCGCCTAAGTCCGAAAAATCGTCCATGACATTCTAAAAATGTTTTGAATAATAGGTAGTTCGTTTGTACGCTATAGTTTATTTATTTCATTGATAAACATAATAATTTTATTTATTACTAATATATTAGTAATAAATAAAAAGTCTTACTAATGTTATAAAACATGTATTATATTTAAACAAATCTTATAAAACACCAATTAATGTTGATTAGTTGTTATTACTAAAAGTCAATACTTAACTAATATTTGATTGTAATATAACTATTATAAAAATTAAAAAAAAAAAAGTCGAAATATCGATGGATATTATTAAAACCGATTACCATCATTGACCATTGGCCGTGTCATTAAGTATATTATTACGATTTATGCTTATTATTTCGATTATTGAAAAATATTATAAAGCATTTTTTATTGGACATATTTTAGCATACTGCGCTGTATTTTATAAACTAAGTCCCTTTAAAATTTCAGGGGAGGGACCTGCACTCTCCCGCAATACGATACTGCTTTACTTTGCAACTCTTCGTTTTCTATTCGACACTGAGTTGGTATATTATAATTAATTATGATGACACATAAATGACGGTGTTCAACGACAAGGACATTTTCGTGTCAAATTACTAAATCATTAAAGTAGACAAAACGTTAGAAAAAATACTAAAGTCAAACAATGACAGAGAAAAGCGACATACCAAGATTTAAAACCGCAGCACCGAGTAGGCAATAGCCAGTATGTACAATGCCCCAGAATACAATAAGCTACTAGCAAGGGCCGTTGAGAGAATGTATAATTAATAAGAATAGGCGACACATTTATGATAGGCAAACAGTGCGATATTGTTGAATATACATAATATTTGCATCAGGGCGAAGTGAAAATGTAGATTAAGAGAAGACGATTAAACAACCCACAAATACGGGACTGCTCAGTCTGCGGATGACAATTGAATACAAAATAAGATAATGCGTGTGTCCTTTAAGTTCACCATATACAATTTGTGGTAGTGCGGCGATACTCTTTCCAGGAACTTTGGTAACTTTAACTTTGGATACAAGCTATATAAATCCCATTGAGTATAGTCAGATTAAATGCAAAACGTCTACTTCAGATTGTCCATTATAATATTTTGAGTCTATATTATAAATATATAAAAAATACACTTTGGACTGCCCTAATTGATTTGTCACGAGGTTATCACTTCAACTATACTGTTTTATTGTTAGAAAATATTAAAATTTTTATAATCGAAGTTTGTAACATGACATGTTATTTTAAAACCTAAAATTTAGGGTTTCAAATAGGAGTATATTTAATTTTAAAAAAAATATGTTTAAAACATGCTTTTCTAAAAAATAGTAAAAAGTGATCTAAAAAGTAAAAACTAATTGTATTACAAGAACAATTTACCAATCAATTGTAATTGAATCATATTTGATTTAAAATGTCAATTACTTTGAAAACAATAAAAAATTAACGAACATTTTTAATAATGTTAAACACCTTTAATTTTTGACAAAAGAGAAAGGCGTAGGCCCTATGCAAAAAATTTATCAGATACTATTTTATATTGTAAGGTTTTTTTGTAATTTTAATATGGTTTAATATTAGTGTGTGACACATATATTTAATAACACTTATCTCAATGAATTTGGAGTATGTTGAATAGGGCCCACGCTTTTCTCTTTAGTAAAAAATTAAAGATATTTAACATTATTTAAAATTGTAGTTAATTTTTTACTGTTTTCAAAGTAATTAACATTTTTAATTAAATGTGCTACAATTGATTGGTAAATTGTTCTTGTAATACAATTATTTTTTACTTTTTAGATCACTTTTTATTTTTTTTTAGAAAAGCATGTTTTAAAAAAGTTTTTTTAAATTTATTTATTTTATTTTTTACTTTTTAGACCTTTTAAAGGTACTCAATAATTAGTGAATAGATTACAGTGAAATTTAAGATTTAGTAGATTTGAAAAAAAAAATGAAATTTTAGTGAAATAACCCCCACATTTGACCCTGTGTAGGGCGACCTGGATGTCCGAGTCCCAATATGATTACAGGATATTGTATTGTCATCCCGAAATGAGTGTCTGTGCCCAGTTTCAGCCCTCTGCGACATTGGGAAGTGGGTTAAATTAATTTTTCAAGATTTGAAAAATACTTGTACAAACGTACGTACGACTTCTTTTTAAATATGATAAAATATCAAAAACACAAATCGTAGGTAAAAGGACAAATGGAATGAATATCACTAATAATAATGATAATACAATTTAATTTCCCATCGTCTGCATCGACACGCTCCTTACAAGAACTTGCACGTTTCAGCTACCCAACGAAAAGGCTCTTTGTTTATCCAAGCTGAAGTATTGTTTTTCGTTGGCTTTTGAAACGTATAAGTTTTCGAAAGGAGCGTCTACATAATACACGGTATGTTTTTAAATGTTTAAAGCTCACAAGTATAAGTATTTATAATATTAAGGAAACTTTGCTACCACATATTAACCGGAATTTTAAATTTATTGTTTTCGCAACACAAATTCCTAAAGAAACATAAGCGAATTTAAATAATAAAGTAGTTGGGAAAAGTAGCGGGAAAAGGTATGTACTTAGTTCGATCCCAGTGAAGCGTAACAGACAACTCTAATAGGGTTATTCAATCAAAAATAAAACCCGCAGACAATGCTAAGAAGTCATAACGTATAGTTAGGTGACTTATCTTAGGATTAGGAAAATGTATAGTTGCAAGTAATATGTACATTAGATAGTCACATTCAAGAGTGTGTTTTAATGAGAAACAATATAAGAAGGACATCATCAGACTGCAAACTAAAATTAATAAATATTTAATAGAAATCCTGAACGCGTTTTTTTTTTTATAAACAAGCGCTTTTTTCCTTTAAAATGCATACATAACCTTTCAGAGGTGTAATTTAATAATAAAAAAAAAATCTTCGTTCGGACAATAGTTTTTTATGTTTAGAATATGCTGTATAAACTCATTGAAATCGGTTGAGTAGGTTTTAAAATATTATAGTGATCACAGCAAAGCACTGTTTGTAAGAGAGCGTTCAACAATCAAGCAGATAACAAGGTCCAGACTTTGATTTGAAATTTAAGTACAATTTTCTTGAAATATATTGTAAAAAATTGTTATTGTAAGTCAAACAAAAAAGTATTTGATAACATTTTTTACTCGATCCGACCGGTTTTTGCTAAGTTTATAAAAAGTTGAAAAACCAGAATTTTTTTGTTTTTGTTTTCCCGGTTTCGAGGTTGAAAATGTTTGCTTTTCTTACTTTTCACCTGCCAAAGTACCAATCCCATACGATTTCGGATTTATAGAGCTGTTACTCGAGTAAATCGTTCCAGA